ACTTTTTAAAAATAGAGAGAGTGTCACTATCTGAGTCTTTTGCATGAGCTCAGAACAATTGTTGCTATTCATAATTAAAAGCATCTAGCTCTGTATTTTTGGTTTTTATGTAAATTTGTTTAGAACTGAGATGGTAAAAAATTCCCACCCAACAAACACACATTTATAGAAATAGTCACAGCATTACCATGCTGCATAATATAAAAAAACATCCATTTTATGGCTGCACAATTTCCTCCCCATAATGCTGTGTGCCAGCAGTAACAAATATGAAAGCAGATCGATTTAAAGTTCAAGTTAAGTTGCATGAGTTTCCCATGGTGAAGCAATTACTCCCTCAGAGGCTCTCATTTTCTTTATCACACCATGAATTCCTCAGGAAACGAATGTGCAGTTTCTACCATGTGGATACTTGTATTGCAACAAAAAAACCTCAGAAACAGTATTTAAGGATAGACATTTTTCTCTCTGTGGAGACTTCCTAAATTTGAAGTTTGACCTCTCTACAGTCAAAAGCATTTACTCTTGGCAAAATCATGTTCCTGTTAATCTAATCTAAGCCATCCTTTTCCCTCTAAACTCAGAACTTTTTTATTTGTCAATAATAGAGGTTGAACTTTCCAGTAAAAGCCTGGGGTGAATATAATAACTCTACATATATTGGGGTGCACTGAAGTGGTATCACCAATGTTTTATATATCTAAGAGCTGGAAATCTACATCATTCCTGAACATTTGTATTATTCTCTGCCATATCCCTCTGAAATGCATGGGAAACATTGATTTCAAACCTGTCAACAGGCTCAAAATCCATCTTCTCCCTTGCAGCACTCAGGTCTTTGGACCTTCAATTTGCAGCTGAAGCCTTCCTGAAGCCACAGCTGGGAGTATGGTCTCCACCTGTTTTTTCCTGTCTCTCCTTAGGGGCAGAGCTCTGCAGATCTGCTCTGCCTTCCACAGCAGGATTACTCTGCAGAGAAAAAATCCCTACTTAAACCCATCAATTCCAGCTGCCATTCTTGTGGGTATTCCACATGGGGTTTGGTGAGAAGAGGAAAAAAAAAAAAAGTAAAAACCAGTAAGACTGGATTATAGAATTTCACATTGCAAATGCACATTGCATAAAAACGATAATGGTTTTATTTCCAGTTTGATAAAGATATCCTTGAGCATCTTCACTGGACAAGAAGAATCATAAAACTTCAGGTCAAAAGAAACTATTAATTATAATATTGTAATAATATTGATTCATTTAAGTTCGCCATTCCTTCGTTTTTCTGCTAAATATTATTTATTTCCTTTTCTGTATCTTTTTCTATTTAGTTGATGAAAATTCCAGAAAACTCATCTGATCAATTAATAAAAACGACAATTTTATTTTCATTCTCGCATTCATTAGACATTATATGAATGCATGCTTTAGAGATTTGATTTGCATGAATCCCTTCTTTCTATATATTTCCCTATAAATTTCTATAGGTAGCTGGGCTGTTGTTTTTCTGTGTGGCAAAAGTAATAAATACCACTTCTGCATAGTGTTTCCTAATGGCTCAGACAAGACTTCTGAAGGCAATAAGTTGGTATGAAACACTAGACTCAAGGGCTCGTGTGGAATTTGGGCATGTGAACATGAGTGCTGGATGCTGCAGGGTAACATTTCTCCCAGCCATCTGCACTAAGAGACAAGAGTGGCTGAGAGGTGGGAGAAGGAATCTACTGTCAAATAAGGATAATTTTTTTTAATCCACTTTTTACATTAAAATTATGTGCATGCACACATACACACACAAATATATATACTCACATAGACCCACTGATTAATTTTCCAATTTTTGTATGCTATTTTCAGTCGTGGTTGCCTATAGAAAAGAAAACCAAATGAAGTCCTGAATCAAGATGCAGAGGAAGAATTATCACACCTGACAGAGCTGGAGCAAAAGAGTCAGGATCAGGGAAAAAACTGAGATTTTACTGGGACACGTGGCTCAGTGTGAGTACAAGAACAGAAGGAAAGAGCAGGAGACACTCTGTGGAGTCAAGAGGGAAACAAGCACAATGAGACAGAGCTGCAGAAGACTGTGGAGGAGAGAAGTTCAAACCCAACACAGCAAGAGACAGGGTCAGCCCAAGAAAGATATAAAGTCTAATTACATCCTCAGTGTTATTTGAATTACTTCAGCAGAAATATCACAGGTAGTATGCCCACTTCATCACCAGTTAAATAATTTCTAAAACCAGACATTCCTATATGTCTGTCCCTGAAATCAATATTTGCAGCTGAATAATTTCTGCTTTATTCGTTCAACAATCACCTACTTTTCAGCTTTGCAATGAGGACCAATAAGTGTATACAATTTTGTCCAGTAGGAAAAATTAACATATTTCCTTCTCTTCAGAAAGAAAATAAGTTATTTCCACACTTTCCATGTAAAGGAAATTTGAAAAAATAATTCAGAAAAACAAATATTTCAACTTGGTTGCATGGAAATTAAATTCCACATCTTGCTGCTCCCTGGGGCAATTCCCTGCTGCAAATGAGCAGCATCCCCAGGAGTTGCAGGTGAAAGATGGGGCTCAGCTGCAGGCAGTAGGAGGGTTTGCCACATCTAGTCTACAGGTCATAAGTGGCCTGAAACTATGTTTGTTTGAAATCTGAACTCCCAGACAAACTCTGCTCTGGTGAAAATGCATCAAAATCATTCTATTTCCATCAAAGTGAATCTATTTCCATACAATACTTCAGTTTTGACAAAGCATCATTCTCCATATAGAAGTACAATGCAAAATTCCTGACAGGTGTTTTGCAGAGGACTGAGCTCTATAAGAGCAGATATCTGTGTTTGCATGTGATTATTGTAAGAGAACTTACATTTTAACATTTTCCTGATATTTACTAGGGGGAAAAAAAACAAAAAAAAACAAAAAAAAAAACTACCTTCCAGCAATGTTATTTTTTTCTTTTAAAAGAATATTCATCAGCCCTTTTACACCAAAAGTACAATGGTGGACAGTCTTAATATGCACTAAATCATAATTTTATTGCAAATGTAAATGATAAGAGACAAAAGGAGAAAAGAGCATATATGTCATTTTGAGGTACAGCTGAAACTACAGCTTATCAGTAATTTGATAACTGGTCAACCAGCAGTGCTCACTAGTTCATGACTATTATCTACATGTTTTCCCATTTATTACATGCCAGCTGAGGCCAATTTTCAGCTGGGAACTATAGCAGCTGTCTCTGTGGAAAATAAAGGAATGTCACTTTAAATTTCTTTGCAGCATGACAGAAATGTCAGCTTCATGCTGGAAAAATACAGTGATACACATTTCTTCTGACCTGAACACATTGCATCAAATCACATACTCATGAAAATGTCATTTTTGACTTTTTTTGCTTTTTAACCAATTTCCAACCTAAAAAAATTTCCTCATCTAACTACATCACTGATCACCATGTAAATTTAACACTGACCTCTTATAGGGTATTCTGAAATATTTAAAGAGTTTATATTTTTGATAGTATAATTTGCCATTGAATAAATTTTGATAGAGAAGACAATAAAGAAAAGGAACAAGGAAGGAAGGAAGGAAGGAAGGAAGGAAGGAAGGAAGGAAGGAAGGAAGGAAGGAAGGAAGGAAGGAAGGAAAGAGAGAATGGGGCAAAATCTGTTTTCTGCGCTCTTCACAAGCTGCATCAACAATTCTCTACTTTTGAAGTCTGTTTTCTCCTCAGTCTATATAATCACACAAGCTATTGCTGTTTATCTTATTTTTGCCATTGACATGTTTGATCAAGTGTACAGTAACAAAATATTAGAGATAGCTGATCTTTTAATAAGTATTTCTGGAACAATTTGCTTATTCTTCCATCATCATCAGCCATTGTTCTGAGAGAAGTTAAACTTGATAAAGAACTAAAAATCTAGTCTTATTATAAAATATCCAGCGCTAAGCTGTTGGAAAGAAACACAAAAAGGTCACATTTCATCAGGCTTTAATTTTCCATTCTCATTTTCAAAGAGACTCATCCCTGTATTCTTCACAGAAGTAGAAAGCCCTCCCTACCTCTGATAATCCTTTTATGCTTTCACATTAATATAACAGAGTACAGAGAATTAATTATTAAGTACTGCTTATACAGAGCTGTAAATATACAATATGTTACAAAACTTAAGATAAGCAATGGCTCCATTCCTAATGAGCTTACTATAATTAAATTCATTGTTGAATCTACATATAAAATGTAGCTAGGAGTCAAACCACACGGGAAAAACCTTTAAGCCAGGTAGATACACAGATGTGAATCTAACTTGTTCCTGGGTTATGAAAATTAATAGCAATTTAGGTTGGTTAACTATTGACTCACATAATTCACTGAGCTTTTTGGCAAATATCAATAAAATGTGGAAGTTGCACATTATACATACACAGGGGAGTTGAAAAACTAACCTGAGATGTCTGATGATCCATAATCTATGCAAAGTGTGAGGCTATTTTTTTTTTTCAGATGAATATGCTGGATATTAAAAGTATATAATGGTATGCTTAGAATTGTAGTCACATTGCTTCAAATCAAGATTCATTCTACCTTCAGACCTCAAATGAAAAAAATCCCCTCCCCTGCCCACATTACAACTCACAGCTGTGGTATAGTTGTGTGTTTCTTTGTCTGAAAAGTGGAATCCTTCTAGGAATCAGTTTATAAATTAACTGTGTGTCTTTCTAGGACTGTTTATGTTTACAGGGGGAAGGTATAGGAGATCAAGAACAAAAGAACCAGAATTAAGAAAAAAATAAAGAAAAATCTGTAATGCGGAGTCTTGGTCATAAACTGATATTTAAGAATTGACTAGGTTCAGTAATGTGTATACCCATTAAATACCCACTAAATAATAATAATTTAATTGTTTTCAACATTAAAAGGAGAAAAAAAATGTTTCCTATTTCCAAATCCAAATGAACCTATTCTCAAATATAACCTCACATATTGTCTTTTAGGTTGGCAACCATTCCATGTCAATCTCATGTATAGGAAGACTTTCATGATGGACAGATGAACAACTTCCCAGGAAGGAATCCAGTCTCTTCTCTGCATCATGCCCATGAGGTTGCTTGAGGTAAAAAGCTGTGACTGGGAGCTATCTCTAATTTCATTATGTGAGCAGAGCTGATTTGTTTATAAATAATTTCACTTCGTTTGGTGCTCCACTCACTTCAATCGAATGTCACCTCAAATGTCTGCCTTTTGGGGTTTGGGGTTAAAGATGAAGGCACACAACCCTTTGCACAGTAGAAAGAAGGAAATGGGTCATCTCTGTGATCAGTTTCTTTTCCTGTCCCAAGTGTTCAAATCACCTGGTGGGATGGTTTGGCATGGCAAACCAAACAGCCACATCCCATAGCTGCCCTGCTGGCTGGCTCTGTGGACAGCCTCGGGGCTGAGCAGACAAGGGCAGGCAAGGTGACAATTTTTAATCACAAATCACAGCTGTCTTGATCTTGATACAAATCAGCACAGTAGAGACAAAAGACTTTGTACACACACACCATCCACTTTACTGGGCACTATGCACCAGCCAAAGTGCCAGGGGAAAAAAATCCTAATTGCTGGTTTCAGCAATAAAGCCTGGCAACATACCGTTAGGCAGGGATTTTTGAAGGCTAACCTTGAAAATACAGGAATGTATTGTCCTACTCTCAATATTGCTCATATAATTTCTGCAGGAACCATGCAGCATTTTTATTGCTAGTGGAATATCTCTAATGGGAGAACCTCTAGATTCCTAGTGTTAAATACAAATTCATACATTTCTTGTTTATTCGCAGCATATGTTCCTTTGCTATAATACATGACACACACTGTGTGTTGCTTCCATAAAACAGATGCTACAAGAAAGCCAAAAAGCATGAATTTATCTTTAATGTTAAAAATACCCAGAATAGCAGAAAAATACTAGATGCAGAAGAATGCTAGATGCAGAATCAAAATATCTATAATTTTCTTGAACAGCGCCAATTGAAAAGCATTTATGTAATGAACTGTGATAAAGATGGACTCAACTTTAAGAAGTCTTTATTTTCAGTTAAGGGTGTTTTAAACCATTTAACTTGACTCTTTGGGATTTTGTATATTAACTGTACTAGTATTTAATTTTTATTTCCTCAGGAATTTACATATATAATAGTGTTTATATAATAAACTCTAAATGCAATTCACTAATTTAAAATAATTAATCTGACATATTTAGATTTTTAGATTTTCACAGTTATTATGAGGAATTGTTTTCTGAGACCAGATACTTTTGTGTCAAATACTTTCCTCTGTTCATTAATGTTATTATTTAAATTTCACTAGCATTGATGTGGATCTCCTTGAATTCTTGTTTGTAATTGTTTTGCCTTTAGCACAGAACTCATTCTGCTAGTCTAATAGTTATAATTTATCTGGATTGCCATGCCTTCTCACAGTGACAGACAAACTGGTGGGGTCAGTGACACTTTGACTACTGTTAACCAGCAGAAGTGTAATATTAACTGGATGTTTTTCCTCTTTTAGAGATAGGCCAGTATAAACTAAGGGTCACCTTGCATCACCGTTAACCTTTTTTAAGATGAATAAAAGTGAAAAGAGCTTATGTTTTCATTTTTTCATTAAGTGATTGATTAGCTGGAGGAGCTGTAAGATTCCTAAGAAACAGCCCATCCAACTTCTCTGGATTCATCAAATCATGACAGGCTTTTTCAAATTAAAGCAGAGACAGTTTATCTCTTTGGGTAAGAGATCTTCATGTGAACTTGACAGGGAGTATCATCACAGTTCCTCTCTGAAAGCTTAGATGAATTACAGTATCTGACATTTCACCAAAGCTTTCTTTGTATACTTAGAGATTTTTTTTTCCTAGATTCCAGTTATTCAGCCTGATTTGAATAAATTTTCTATGGGAAAAGGAGAGTGGAAAAATGTTTTTTGTCCTCTTTAAACAAAAAAATAAATAAAAAAGGAAAGAAAAAAGTTGCTGATTAATCTGTTGTGACCCGTTTCAAATGCTGTTACAGACAGAAGTCAGTTTTTTATCAGAGATAAGATGTTTCTTCCTGTTCATACTTTAGCTGACAGATTTACTCCCTATGTGTATTGAGCTCATATTGGACATTCTAACTAATGAAACTCCATTGTAGCTCCTGTAGAGATGGAATGTGAGCACCACACCTCAGTCAGGAGTGCTCCAAGCATGGGAGTCATGGGAAGGATGTAATGATTTTCTGTGTCCTTAAATGAGTGGCATCACTGTCCAACTTCCATGAGATAAAATATTAAGAGCTGCTTCGAAATTAAAGGATTTTTTCAAATACAAATTATTTCCTTCTCTGTTGTTCATTATTTTTGTAAGGAGCACACCCTGGGAGCTTACATGTGGGACCAGGGGCTCGCTGAGCAGTTCATATCCCTTTGGTTCAGTGCATCACACAATGAAGCATGAACAGCTGACCATGTATCTATGCACATCCTGAGCACAGGAATCTCACAGGTTCCAGGAAGAGAAGGGATTTCTTATGCTCTGTGAACTTGTGAGAATGGATTTGGTCAAAAAAGAAATCCAATGCAATCTGAGTCAATAGCTGAGTGTAGAGGCTAATATAGAATAACAGATTTATTTTATTTTATTCATCATTCTATTAAGCATTCTACTAAATATTTTCAGCCCACTAAGAGAAAAGAAAGGAAAAAAATAGCAAACAATATAACAGATTTCAAGGTCAAAAGCCCCCACTATCTCAAATTCTGAAATTCTTTTTAGTGGAAAATAAAATAAACTCGTGGACAGCCCAAAACTTTGGAATTATCCTTCTAAATATCCAGTTAATGCACCCATTAAAAAAAAAAATCTACTGTGGGAAAAGAGTAACCATGATTAAACTAGGTGATGCAGTTAATTTTTCATCCTCCTTAATAAGTATATTTTTATAACCTGTTTATTATATGCAATATATAAACTTTCCTGAAGATAAATGAAATTTGCACTTTACATATATGGGTCTAAGTAAAAATGATACATATGGGTGTAAGCAAAAATGATACATTTTCCATTATATGAGCCAGGACTTGAATCTTTAAACTTTTGAAGAAACAAAATGAAATACAACCCCTTTCCAATGTTGCTTACCATATCATATTCTTGTGCAATTTATCCATACATAACATAACGATAAAATTGAACTTTGATTCTTGCAATCACATCACACTTGTTTATTTAAAGGTCAACCATTACTCTTAGAAGTAAACCCATTAAAATATTGTGATGTAAGGATGTAAATTACAATGCGTCTAAATGTGAAGTTATTACTTAAACATCAAATGACACTGAATGCGTGACTAAAAACTAAATAAGATTCATCAGTATTCAGCTGGAAAAATCAAGATCAGAGAGTGAGTACGATTTTTTTTTAAGCTGACTGATAGAGCTGGGTCTGAAAATTTGAAAACTTCACAAGATTGTGCTTAAAAAAAAATAATCTGATATTTTCTGATATTCTGTTTGCTTTTCAAGACACAGATGGTCATCTGAATGTGGACTGGCTTTAACCAGCCATGTAAAAATTATTTATGTAGGAAAATTAAATGAAACAAGGTCAAAGAACATCAGTGTGAAAAATAACAGTCAGAAAAATGTATCTGTACTGTATCAATTTTTAATGTTATCTGATTTTATTCTGATTGCTAAGTGGATATATTCCTCATCCTCATTAAAACAACCTCACTGGAAAAAATGAAAAGGATTACATTCAAAGAGCATGGATATAATTCATGCCTAAAAGCAAATGCAGAAGATAATCAACTGTCTTAGGAGAAAGTGAAGAGGGCTCCTGTCTGAGCTGCAGCAGTGGGTCTGGAAACTGAGTTTGCATGGGACCAAAAAGAAAAGCAAGCGCCAAGTGGAACAGATGCTGAGACAAGATACTTAAATGAATGAAGGAATGCAATATCTGTCATCAAAGTGTGAGCTAGTAGCGTGTGACCTATTTAGTCTAGTGAAACAAAGGCTGAGAGAGGATAATATTGCTGTCTACAAAACCTTCCAGAGAGGGGTTTAAGCTTTCGGAGGAAGATCTTAAAGCAAAAGGATATATAGAATCATGGTTGTGAATACATTTAGACTAAAAATTCAAGATCAGTCAGGGAGTCAGAGCTCAAAAATGCATCTATTTAGCACAAGTCATAAAACATAAGAGGAAAGCTTTACATTACTATAAAAATGTTAATCGAAGAAAACAGTTACTTTGCTGTGGCAAGAAAAATCTGTCAAACTATCATGCTGAGATCTTTGGTTTTGGTTTTTTTAAAAATACTTTAATGCCTTATTTTGGCCATTGAAAAGGGGAGTTGCAATCAACTGGCTAACATGCTTATTATCATTGACAAAAGCATACAGCTCCTGTCTGAAATTAAGAAGGAAGCTTTTTTGGTTATTTTTCAAATAACCAGATTTTTTTTTTTTTGTTATTTTTCAAATGCTCAGAATTGATAAAATTTACCAGGGCTACTTATATATGGAAATTTTCTCTAAGAACTTAGGTAGGTGGCTGAGTTTCCAAATCCAACCATTCTGATTGTATTTAAAAGTAGGGGTGGTAGTGAGAAAGGAAAACTGGACAACCAAGGCTATGGGTTTGACCGGCTTACATTCAGCTCCTGGGAATAGGAAGTGTCACAGAAAATTACAAGGTGTTAACATCACCTAGACCAGTGACATATCTAATATTTATACCTGGTAGGGAGTGCAACAGAAAATATTGTAGTAGATGTGAGTGTGTGATTGTGTGTGCTGAGTGTGTGTGTGCATGTAAGGCAGCAGAGATCTAAGGGGACAGCAGCAAAGGAAACAAGACAGTGAAGCTTTCTGTCTAGGTAACCTCCCCAAGACAAGACTATTAATTTATTATACTTCAAAAAAGGTCACTATCTTTTAAAGCACGTTGTCAATGCACTCTCTTCATTAAGTTCTAGGTTGCCATATATCCCTCTCTGTTGAGTTTGGGAGTAAGCCAGCAAAATGTCCATTGATGGACGCTGTGCAAGAGCAAGGCAGAAAATAATGCCATGGAGTATTTGTTGGTT